CACTTTGTACCCAGGCTGGTCTTGAACTCGCAACAATCCTCCTGCCTCAGCCTCCCGAGTGCTGGGATTACAGGCGTGGGCCACCACACCCGGCTAAACTACATATTTCTTGGGGAGGAACGGTGAATGATAGGCATTTAATTGGAAGGGGAAAGGGTGAGAGTGAATGGCAGAATATCAAGAAGAGGTGGTGGAGTAAGAAATACCTGTGTAGAAGGAGATTTGGGAGGAGAGAAACTTCCGAGGAGGATGAGGCAGTGTGTGCAGAGATCTGCTCTCACTGGGAGGGCAGAGCGTCCCTCCCTCCCGCCCATCCTGCCCTCCCTTGCCCCCTAGCTGGCCGGCCTCTTCTCCTGTACAGTGGTCCTGTCGGTGCTGCTATGGCTGGGACCCTTCTTCTACTATCTGCCCAAGGTAGGGAGCAGGGGTGGCCTGGGGGTGCCTGAAGGGAGGTGGCCGTGCTCCAGGACACTGGGGAAGTCAGCCCCCCTCCTGTGCCCCAAGGCTGTTCTGGCTTGCATCAACATCTCCAGCATGCGCCAGATGTTCTTCCAGATGCAGGAACTTCCACAGCTGTGGCACATCAGCCGGGCAGACTTTGTGAGACATGGCGACATTACCCCCGTTCTGCACTGCCCTATCCCGCCTGGCCTCTGCCCGGGGCCAGCGCTCACTGTCCTGGTCCTACGCCTGCGACCGCCCGCCCCAGCACACACGGTTTACCGAGAGGAGAGGAAGGGTGGGCTCTGAACCCCTCAGGCCCGAGCCTTGTAACTGCCCACCTGAAGCGTGGTCTGAGGCCATTATGTCCCCCGTGTACCCCACTGGGTCAATCCCGTCCCTTCCTCTGGGATGCTTCCCACTTTCTCCTGGGCTGTCCCTCCACATCATTCACCCTGGCAGTCACCTGCAGGGACCCCAGTCTTCGGGCGTTCACCCATCTGTGCCCCGCAGGCCGTGTGGATGGTCACATGGGTGGCTGTGGTGACCCTGAATGTGGACCTGGGCCTGGCTGTGGGCGTGGTCTTCTCCCTGATGATGGTCGTCTGCCGCACCCAGAGGTGGGTGTAGAGATGAGCCGAGTCAAGGCGACGCGGACTCAACACGGTGTGGGGGACGCTAGTCAGGCCAGGCCAGGCCCGGCCCGCAATCTGACCCCAGCCTCTCCCCTAGGGTGAAGTGCCTGGCCCTTGGACTGGCTGAGGGGACGGAGCTGTACAGGCCACTCAGAGGGAGCCGCAAGGTGGGTGGGGTACGGCCAAAGAAGGGAGAATTAGACCCGGAT